ATTGATGACGCGTAATTTTCAGTGCAAAACCCCGTTTCTGTTTATTCAGCCAGGATACGGTCTTGGAAGAGTTCCTGACCGACATCTCCTCCTACGCTAATGGCCCAGCTGTTGTTTTTTCGAAGATTTTCTCTTTTTTATGATGAGAAGGCTATGCCCGACTGTTGCTCCACTTCCCCATCCATAGCGATCTATGTATACAATACGGCACCAAGTAGAGGTGGTATTACAGTTGTGTTTGTCTGAATAAACTGACATAATGCAAGATTAAAAGGGCATGAGAGGTGGTGCTGTACGAAGTTTTTTGTTACGCTCCAAAACTATTATGAAAAATCCCCGTTTCAGGCGGTGCAATGGTCGTCACGGGACACGTCATTGGTGGAATTTGTGGCTCGTCTGGCGAATCGAATTCGAGTGATGCCGGCATTATTCGCGGTTCTAGACGAGGTATGTCACATTTTGTTGTTCACGAGGAAAACCGGGTTTCATCGGGGAGTTTCTCCAGGGATGTTTCGTTTTCCGATTTCCGATTTCCGGTTATTTCACTGAAATTTGAAGATAAAATAATGGCACTATTCTTCATTGGTTTCTTTCTATTTTTGAGGCTATTCGATGTTTTTCAAAGGTGCATCCTAATGTTGGAATATAGGCTATCTGGAGGTTCTCTAGGCCAGTCTGAAGTTCCGATTTACGATTCTCGAACTTTCCAAAATCGCGCTTGACATTTTTTGCTCAGTCTCAAATGTTCTGCAATTTCGTTTGCAAAATCTCTTAAATATCTTCCACAAAATCTTCCGGTCAGGAATCTTCGTCCACGGACCATGGACCAGTGGGCGGGACCGGAAGTTTTTGTGACGAAATGCATGGTAGGTACGGATCCACGTGTCGAACGCACGAACGTGAACAGGATTCACTTCAAACCTTCCCATGAACGTGGATCCGTACCTACCATGCATTTCGTCGCAAAACCACTTCCGGTCCCGCCCACTGGTCCATGGTCCGTGGAAGATTCCTTTAAGCCAACATGTGGAGCAGGCCAGGTCACGACATGATTTTTATTCGAAAGCAGCTACCCGCTGCTTTTGCGCGTCGGCTAACAAAAAATAAAGGTGGTGGTATTGACAGACTTATGTGTTATGGGAAAAATCGAACTGCCTATCCAAAGTGTTTATCTCATTCCTCGCAAAGTGTAGACTTATTGCGTCATTATTTCTTCTAATGTTTACTTGATTTATTTACCGTTTGTACATCAAAGGGTAGCAGCACGGTTAAATACACATGAAGCCTAATATTCACACCAATATGAACCGTAACAACTTATGCGGAACAAATGTGAAGAAATAGTTCTTAGTTTGTCTATTGTGCACATACATACAGAGTTCACCTAAGCTGAGGAATTGAAACTCATCACACTCAAAGGCTTATGGGACTTTAAGGGCATGTGAAGGCATGGCGCGTCCACAAAAAAGCGTATATCGACTGGAAATGCATTACTTCTGCTCTGATGGTGAAAGCCTCATCAGTGGAGTGTGCTATGAAGCTTTTGCATTTCATCCCTCTCACATATGTACGTCTGAGGGGTGTCCGTAATTTATATTCTGTCTGCCCTTTCATCACCGTTTCGCACACGAGACACGGCAGTTGTTCAGCACCTCACATGCGTCATGACGTGAGCACGATGAGGCAGCGTGAATGCTCTCTTGGACCCATCGCCGCTGTAAATCCAGACCTGACTGACAAATTGGAGGCAATTGCACCATAAAAAGTCGTAGCTCTGAATTCTAGAGGCTAGGTGATGAACAGAAGGAAAAACGAGAAAAAGTGAAAGAATGGATGGGAAGAGGAAACTCGTAATTGATAGTCGCTCTGAAGAAAGGGCGATTCGATATTCTGACTCGATTCTAGGCTGATATTGAGGGTCATGATGGATTTTTGGGCAAGGATTTGGTATTATCTACGATTATATGTGTCTCCTCTTCATTATCGTAATCTTGTTCTTTTTCCCCTTTTCATTTCTCAACCCTTTCCCCATTAGTAATTAGGAATATGTGGTTTATTGCTCACCGCGTCCATTTTCCTGGGAATGATTTATGATGCTCCCATCGTGGGAGCGATAGAAATTGTTTTCGGCAGCTCACGTTCAGTGCGGTTGGGAAGTTGCTTCACTTTACGGTCAAGGGACCACAAGTGATTCGAATTTTTGGTTCTTTCCTCTTGGTGGCGTATATCTGCGATTTATTGGTTGGTCAATGAATGGGTGCGGCGTGGACGGCGCAGTGGTTAGAGGCGCTTTACTTCCTCTTCGACAGCTTGCAGATCGCACTTTGTCCATTCCAGCCGTGGGTAACCTTCCGTGAGGTTTCGTTTTACTTTTACTAGGGTGGTTTTGGAGAACAAAAGCGAGCACCATCCAGAACAGCGGCTGAGTAGCAAGTTAGATCGCAAGCCAGAAGGACATCCGGAGGCCTGTAAGATATGGGGAGGCTTGATGTTCACTTGAAAATGAGATGGAGGCAAGCCGGCTTCATTCTGCAAGGTCAAGGAGGGGGGGGGGGCGTGGTAGACAGAGATATTTTCATATTTTCGGCCCTTTTCGGTCATATTTCCCAAAAAAAGCAAAAAGTGAGCGAAAAACGACTGAAAAAATAGATTCAGGAGGTGTACAGTAGTATTTTGGCCACTTTCCAAAACGAAATTGAGTAGGGGGTCTATTTCGAAAGGACTGATAGGCTCTTTGCGATTTATCTTTGCATGTGTGAATCTACTGAAGGCAGAGGAATACAGAATCCAGATGGATATCGATCAAATGAAAAAGATGAATGCACGAGTGTAGAGCGGTGGGAACATTCTCACAGAACCTCATCGTGACATAGTTGATTAGCTTCATACACTAGCGAGCCTCGTGCTGATTTACCCAGGCTAAGGCTGCTCATTTATCGGGGCTGGGGCTAGCATGACTCTGACAAAACCTTCCGCATCTGAGCTGGAGAGATTTAACTCACAGAAATAAAATTGATGTAAAGTCATAAAAAGACCTGGAATTCAATAATTATGCCCTATGGGGTTGGAAGGCTCACCCCAGTCACACAGTGGTCAGTAGAACGGTCAATTTATTAGTCACGCGAATTCCCTGTGCATCGCTTCTGTAAGGAATAGCCCAAGTAGTGCACGCACTTCCCATAAATACCCATTCAGGAATAACAAATAACGAAAATAGATTCGCTGCAAGAGTTGTGCATGCTCACCACTTGGTCGGAAATCGGACCTATCGTCACACTCTGAAATAGTGTACCGTTGCTCACACATTGATTAGACAAGTATTTTACAGGCGGATCAAGCAGTTGAAGTATGCGACGAGTCGAAAGTAGTACAGTATGTGAATCGGGCATACGAGAGCGTCACTGGATGCCTTAGAGGAGAAGTTGTTGGTGAGTCATACTTGAAGTATTTTCCCTTTCATTTTCTTTTCCCTTTTCCTTTTTTTTGTTTTTCTCCGCCGAGCTTCATCGATTGTTTGAGCATTTTCATTCAATCCACATGTCACTTGACAGATCATAAATCATTTATTGCTGCACTTTCTCACTTCTGCTCTACTGTGCTATTTTGTCACTGCGACATCTCGTCCGCCACATGGGAAATTCCGCCCCTGACTAGCCCCGCATACCGCGCAAACTCCGCCCACAATTCTCTGAATTGAATGTCTCTGTAGGTACTAAAATAAATGTTGATTCAAGCGAACTTAAAACAAAGCAGCGTGAAACAACCCCCGGAGGCCATCTTATCTTTTTTTTATAATTTCTTTTATCCAGCGAGATCGACATTATGGTTTCATTGAGAGTCCGGAGGT